CAGGATCAGCAGGCAAGATGGCAGGCCATTGGCACATGTCCAAAGAATCAGAGGTCAACAAGTCAGATGCCACCAAAAACACATGCTTACCCACAGCGTCCCCTAGTGTAGTAATTATGCCACCCCCCCCCAAGGAACCTTTCTTGCAACAGCATCAGGGCTATGACCCCAGTTATAGATTCACTCCACCATAATCTTACAACTTACTGAAAGTTCACAGCAAATCCCAATGTGGTGTTCATTGTGTTGTGTCACATTACCTCGTGGGGGGTTACTGGACCTCAGCAGCTGAACCACTGAGAATCCCGACTTGCCAAGTTGACAACATCTAACTATCACCCCCCCCCCCCCCAATGAGTTAACTGACACTGGTTGCATCACTGGGCTCAAATGTGGCCTTCCTATGTGAGCATCGTGTTTCCTGCTGTGGCAGGCATATTGGGTTGCTATAAGTCCGGGCAGTCTTTCGGACACCTAGCAACAGCAGCAGCACTTCTGGGGGCGGGCAATCAGCCACCTCACCTTCATGAACTGCAGTCATGTGAGTCAACGTTCTTACTGTAATGGGCTGTTCTTCATTGTAGGTTTCCCTTCTGAAGTTTTCATGAGATTAGGTCCTCTGCTGTAGGCTTCTACACCGTGCTACGTATTAATTACTTCCTTAATTTCCCTTTCCCTCTGTTAGAGTCTAAGCTCTGTGAGGGTAAGTACAAGCCGATCTTGTTTTATATTATTTGTACCATGTAAGCATAACTCAAAACAGAACAAGAACAAAAACCCCACAGCAGAAATAAACCAGTGAGTAAAGGGACGGATCACTACCTTAGGAAATGATGAACAAATGACACTGAAAACTGAAGTGTCAACAAATAAATAACTCCTACCCGTTGCAGTCTTAGTGAATGATGATGTTCATAAAAAGGGAAGTGAATGTAAAGGGAGCGTTTGAGAGAGAGAGATGCTGAAGAGCCACTGGTCCTTGCCAGCCTGCTGGGCTGCATAGCTCCGCATTCCTCCCTCCCTCTCTGCAGAGATGGATGAGTCTAGGAACTGGCACCTGCATTCCATTCTTGTCTAGTAGCCTTGTTTCCCAGCCCGGGAAGGCAAATCTTAAGATGCCTTCCTACTCAGTTGCGGGTAATTAAGATGAAAAATCACAATTATGTAACTCAGCATAAAAGCAGTCTTGAAGTTTAGCAACTTGAAAGGGGAGCTCGCTGTTGACCCTGCTCTCCAGAGACCAGCAGTTGTGTGGGACAGGACTGCAGAGAGCATTGGAGAGCTCAGCACACGTGAAGCCTGAACCGAGGCCATTGAAACAGCAAGTGGAGAAAGGAGAGAGTAAATAAAAGATTGTGTGGGATGTGCTTGGTAGGTGGCAAGGAATTTTCATTTTAATGGCATCTACAAGAGCATTCCCTCTTGCATAGCAGCATTTGGGAAGCTTGCTTCTGAGAAGGGTGGGGGGATATATACATGTTTGCCCATTCCAGTTTGGTGACCTTGTGATTTGTCCATTAAGGGTGTGAGAGGTTGGGTGGCAGAAAAAGTCTGGTTTAACTCTCCCAACCCTATTTTGGTTCTCACCGGAAACGTCATTACCTCATCAGTATACTTTACAGGAATCTGCTTTGGTGAAAACTAACATTAAAAAAAAAAATCTTCAAAAGAAAGTAAAGAGAAGGAATCATAAGTCCTTAGGACGTAGCCTAGTGCCTGGTTTCCCAAGCTCAGTTACTTACCCAAAAGGTAGAGGTTTGAGTCCACTCAGCGGCTCTTCAGAAGAAAGGCTTAGCGTGGTTTCTTCTGAACAATTAGCCATCGAGAACAATATGGGGACAGCCCTACCCTGGCCAGATGTGAGGTCAAAATGAGTGGAAATTGACTTGACAGCAGTGGGCTCTTTTCCATGGTGGGAGCTCAGTATTTCCTAAACCCTGATACATTTCTATAGATTCTGAAAATATTAGGTAAAACTATGAACGATTAGATTTTATATGCACACCATCCACTCCTGCAAAGATACAGCTTTCTGCTCTTGTAAAGACCTCCTCAGAAAGCCCCAGGGGCAGTTCTACCCTGTCCTGCAGGGTAGCTGTCAGTCAGCATCGACTAGTGGCAGTGAGCTTTTGGTTCTGTGTTTATTAGTTTATCAACATGTAGAGGCTTCCTTACCAAAAGAGCCAGTCAAGCCTGTCAGTACTCAGTACCGGGATAAGGAGACTTCCAAATCCTGGGTGGTTCTTTTCATGGGCCTGCTACCTCCAGGATTCCTACAAGGGTGGTATATAAATAAGGCAAAACACTCATTGCCAGCTCAGAGGGGCCCTACAAGCCTGGCTGGAACTGCCCCAGTGGTTCTCAACCTTCCCAACACCGTGACCCTGTCATACAGGTCCTCATGTGGTGGTGACCCCCCAACCATAAGATTATTTTTGTTGCTACTTCATCACTGAATTTTTGCTACTGTTAGGAATCGGGTGAACCCTGTGAAAGGATCGTTCGATCCCCAAAGGGGTCGTGACCCACAGGTTGAGAACCACTGCTGTAATTGTTTACAGTAGAAAGCCCTCTCTTTCTCGGACCCGCTGGTGGTTTGGAACTTCAGACCTTTCCAGTCGCAGCCCAACACTACCACCTAAGTGGTTCTTCAGTTTTGCAGGTACACCAGTAGAAAGTGATTTGCAAAACTTAACTTATTGGATGTATTTATCTAATTCCCCCGGGATAGATTTGAAATAATAAAACTCTGTTGTTGTTTTCCAGGGCCTGTATCATGGTTGTTCCAGATTTATAGGCTGGTAACTGTATCAAAGAGTCCCTTGTTGGTGCAAGTGGTTAACACACTTGGTTGCTAACAAAAGTGTCGTGGGAAATTCAAGGGCATCCAGAGATGCCTTAGAGAAAGGGCGTACAGAACTTGCTCCAAAAGAACAAGCCATCCAAAACCCCGTGGAATTCCCCGATGCCCATGGAGTTGCTGTGAGGCCATTCTAATGCCAAGGGCAACTGTTTGGGGTTTTACTTTATTGAGGCCATTTATTTGAATAAGAGTTTTTTGGGTTTGATTGTGGGGTTTTTTTGCTGTGTTTTTAACTTGGAGCCCTGGTGGTGCAATGCTTACGTGCTCAGCTGCTAACTGAAAGCTCGGTGGTTGGGATCTACCAGCCTCTGTGTGTTAGAACAAGCCTCGTGGTCTACTCCCACGAAGATCATAGCCACAGAAGGCACATGGGGCACTTCTCCTCAGCCTGACAGGGTCACTCTGAGTTGGAATATATTCGAGCTTGATGGCAAGTACATATATATCTTTAATAAAGAGAGATGGGAGTATCTTCCCACTGGAAGAAGATGACATTTTAAGAAGTGTTCGTGTCCTCGTAGAAATGCTGTGCTGAAATCAAAACCGGTAGCAAAAGTGCAGGTTTTCTATGGCTCTCTTTCTCAGTGTGGCCATCTAATAACAATCAGCTAGCACTCTCCCCGGTGTGGCTGTACTAGTAAAACAATGGCGTATTTCAGTTGTTGGGCAAGGGATTTTCACAATACTTGGGAAGCCTCTGAAAATGTCACCGGGCTCCAGAATGGAAGTGCCGTTTTAATTTTCAGCTCCATTTTGTGTTTACAGTTGACAGAATTTCCCTGGTCGGATGAGCTCTGTGAATGTTGGAAGAGAAGCACTTAGCCTTGATCTTGGCATTGAGTCCTGGGTCTTGCTTTTCCTTCACTTGCTGTGTGGGATTTCACCTGACCTCTGGAGCAGTATCATGCTGACATCCGCAGTCATACGTTCAAGGTGATAGGAGGCACAGTTGGTGTCTCAGAGAATATATACCCAGAGGCAAGTCTCAGGACAAAATGTCAAGGAGGATTCAGCCCCTGTGTATAACAATTCTTTGTTAGCTGCCCTCTTTTATAATCATTATTACCTGAAAGAGCCAGAAAGGGCAAATAAAGGGAACATAGGCTTGGAAATTTGAAATTCTGCTTTAAAAACAAACAAGCCCCTCTCCCCCAGCATTTTAAAAGTCCATGACTTTTTATTGATGTGGGATTTGCTCATAAATGTCACCTTTATACCATATGGACCTAACCTTTGTTAGATGGTTTTGTCTTATAAGCTGAGGTCTTACTTTAATTATTCAAGAAATAAAAGTGATTGCTTTCCCTAGAAAATGTGCTGTAGGTTAGGCTGAGGGCAGAGGTTAGACTTGGAGGCGGGAGTGAAGTCTGCTCATTTCCCAGCTCTGGGGGACCTTTGCTGGCAGCTTTATTGAAGCGTTGTCAGTGGTGATGGGAGCTCCTGCGAGGAAAGGACATTGCAACCAGAGAGAGCTGGGTAATTTCTGTAGAATAGGGCCTCACTGTCATTGACACTTCAGCCCTCTGCTGCCATCTTACTTAACAATGGCAGACAAAAGCCAGTGATGAGGATTTAACCGAAGGTCAAAGCAGGAACGCAACTGTTTCT